ATATATATATATATATATACACACACGCACAAAAATGACACAGGGTATGTAGAATTTGAATGATATAGGACATGTTTTGGTGAAAGGGTTTTATTTCCAAATGTAACTAATTTATAATGAGTTTTGTTTTATGATGAAATTATCAAGCAAATTAAGTATCTTCATTTGTTATAAATAACATTAAAATGCACATTGAAATCCTCTATGACTAGGATTTAGGTAAAATGATAAACTTTCTTTGTGTTTATTGAAGTACTGCACTATCCATTGAATTACAAGAGGCAACATGATATAATGGATAGAATACATTCTTTTCTATCTTATCTTCAGTTTTTACTTTTGTTAGCTAAAAGCAGTGTGACCTCTAACCTTGTAGCTAAAAGCAGTGTGACCTCTAACCTTGTTATCCTCCTGGACCTTAATTTCCCTATCTGTGTTTAACACTATCCATATTTTTACTTTTTTATGTTTAACCTTGTTGTTTAACTCTAGTAGAGACAAACATGGAACATTATGGGTGGACTAGGAAGAGTATAGGGAAGGTGCACCCAACTCAGTCTAGGGGTTTATGAAATAGTTAAAAGATAGCATTCAAAACGTGTGAAACATGTATCATTTAATCATCCTTTGATCTTAAGCAAATTTTTAAAAAATCCACACTGTGTGCCAGGCAGTATTTTAGATGTTCAAATGGATGCACAGATAAATAAAACAGTATCTATCTCACATATTCCTTGCATCCTGGAAGGGCCCATGAAGTTCTGAAAGTGATAACTGTAATGTCAAGCAGCTGTGATGCATACCCTAACATGAAGTAACTAATAGATTTACAAAGCAAATGATCATGTATATTTCTTTTAATTTTTCAGGACCTATCAATGCCTGGCACAGAGCATATGCTCAGGAAATCTATAATGAGTAGTTTTAATGACCTGATCAGTTATTTGGCAATTTAAATAATTAAGTACCTAGGATTTCAGAGGAAAAAGATGCCATATGTCTTTGGGGCTATTAGAGAAGGGTTTAATAGAAAGGTGACAGTGTCACTTAAGATGCACAAATTATTAAAATTTTAGCTATTGTAGTGTAGAAGTCTAGGTAAAGGGAATTATATGAGTAGTTAAATAGTAGAAAAAATATTGCTTGTTGTTTTTGTCTGTCTGGATATTAGTTGGCTAAATAAAGAAGAAGTAGGAGAAAGTTTGTCATCTAACTAGAAAGTACCTTGTTGACTTTTATAGCACACTAAGAGTCTGTAGAATATGGTAGCATATTGGTGACACAAATAGGTTCAAATCTAAAGTATGTCACTTCCTGGATAGCTCACAATTTATCACATACACTTAGTTTTTTGCTACCTAATCTGTAAAGTAGAAGTAATAATGCAACATATCTATTTTACTCAGAGATGATACTTGTAAAATATTTGGTTTATTCTAGGCTCTCAGTAAATACTCTCTTCAGTTTTTATAATTTATTCTGTAGGTATAATATACCTACTGATTGGCGAAGGATCATTGAACAATGTTGTTGAGTCATATAGTTAATTAAAATTGTGTTTTGGAGCCGGGCTCGGTGGCTCAGCCTGTAATCCCACGCCTTTGGGAGGCTGAGGTGAGTGGATGGCCAGAGCCCGCGGGTTCGAGACCCACCTGGGCAGCGAGACCTCATCTCTACAATAAATCAAAAAATCAGCCGGGCGTGGTAGCGCATGCGTGTAATCCTGGCTACTCGGAAGGCTGAGGCGGAAGGATCGCCGGAGCCCAGCAGGTCGAGGCTGCGGTGGCCGGGAGCGGCCACTGCACTCCAGTCTGGGTGACAGAGTGAGACTCTAACTCAAAAAAAAACAAAAAAATTGTGTTTTGGAAAATTAATTTAGCAGAAGGGTAAGTGGAAGGATGAGAAGTTAAACATGGAGAAACCAGTCACTGAAACTATTAGGTATTAGATTATTAGGTATTAGGTAATAAGACCCTGACCTAGTGTGGTGGCAACAGGAAAAGAAAAGATTAGGATAAGAATTGCTTTAAATAAAATTACAAAGTCTTCTTATGTAAAAAAAAATGAAAATAAGTAGTACTCTTAATGGATGTGCATTGAAGAGTTTATTCCATTGACTGGTAGCTGCCGTCCACTTGTCTCTTGCCCTGACCCTCTCCTCTTCCTTCCCCAGATCCATCACTTAATCTAGTTCATTTTTGAGTACCAGAGATATACTAAGTTTTCTTAAGATCAGAGAGTCAAGAAGGATTCTGAATCTAGTTTTATTTCATTTTAAAGCCCATAATTCTTTCATTTAGCTAAATGTTTTTAAGATTCTTAATATGTTTTGTCAAATTTCTTTCACAAAAAATTGTGCCAAATGATACTTCCACCACCTTAGAATGGCTACCTTATTATGTCTTCACTGGATAATACTGTCTTGGGCAAATTTTTCTAAAAATAAATAAGTAGAAGTAGTAACTAATTTTAATTTTTACTTAACTTGTTATTTTATTTTTAATTCCATTGTAATTCCACAAAAGACTTTCTTAGTTAAATTTATTAATCTTTCCTTTTACAATTTTTTCAAATAATTTTTGAGTTTAAATAGGTTTTCCCCCTCACTAAAACTTGATAAATATTCAAATAGATTTTCCACCAATTTTTCCACGATGTGACTTATTTTTATTTCCATTTAATTGTTTGATTCATCTGGAATCTATTTTAGTTTCTGCCATATAATAGAAGATTTTAATTGTTTTCGGAAGTATGAAGAGAAACTTGTTAAAATATGGTCTTATTTATACAGCAACAGGAGTATGGTCAGTATTTTATCAAGTCTCTTTTGGATTTATGAGACTAGATTTATTTTTGGAACATTTATAGACTTTTATAAAATGATGAAATTTACTATAGTCATAATGTATAATATAGAAAATAAATATTATGAAATCTAATATTCTAAAAATATTGTTTTTAGAATTTGGGAGATGAGCTAATTAATGTCTATAAAGCCTCTTTCATGGCTGAGTTACAGAGAACACAAAAGTGCAATTGCTAACATGTTTGTCTATGTTAACTGTATAGTTAATCATTTAACCAGTTGGTGAAAGTGAGTCCTCAGTGGGGGTTTAATAGAATTACACATGTGCCACAAAATACTCATAATTCTTGACCTATTCTATTACACTCCCCTTTTCATGTACTGAATTTTTAATGTACATTAGTTATTTATGCATAGAATAAATAGTATTCTGATCCTGTGTTTTTTTATTGTAATTGTTGTTTGTCTTATTGATCTAACTAAAGCTTTCATATATTTGAAAACATAACACAAGAGGCAGTATCCATTCCTGTATTAGAGATGATTTAGAATTACTTGTACATGTACTTCCTGAGTTATAAACATCAAACTTGCAAATGCACTAAAACAGGTGATAGCATATAATGTAGTTAAGAACATGGGCTATGGACTCAGGCTACTGGGTTCTAATCCTAGATTTACCACTTTGTAAGTGTTCTAGTCTGTTTAACCTCTGTTTCTTGGATGAGAGTAAAAATATTTTAGAGTTGTGATACTTGAATTATTCAACTCATATGAAATACTTAGAAATTTGTCTGTCATGTAATGTTGAAAATGTTTTCTTGCTATTACAACATACTCTTTGTACTACCACTCTGTGGTTACCCACATAGCAAAAGGCTGTAGGGAGCAGTGGTACCACTTGGAGACCTCCTTGTGCCTCATTGTTTTTTCCCTCTCAGCTGTTTGCTTTTTCCTCAGTGGTATATGAACCATGCTTCCCTCTTTCTTTTTCACTGCTCCTAGATTACTTAAACAGACATTACCACTTAATAGTTTTCTCCTGGCTTATATACTTGTGTACAGTGTCTGTTAGAGTACACTTTAGATTGTTAAGTAAGATTAAGTGCTTGGGAAATCAAAGGAAAAATGCATTTGAGATTCCAAACAATTTTTATTAAACATACACACACAACTCTTAATGAAGAATAAGGTTAGGTTATTTTTTAAAATTAATTATAATGGGAAAAGCTAGAAAAGTATAAGATTGAGAAGGAAAAATGAAGGTAATAGGTACTAAAATTGTTATCATTATTCATTTTGTTTAATATATAAACATATTTATGA